AAAGTAAAGTAAAGTTTATTGACCAAAATATATACAATGTACATGTATAGTCAGAGTTACATTAAAATAACACAGAATAAATAACACAGACAAATAAGAAATATCCTAACCTACTACATACGCTTGCAAACTATAGAAGCAAGTAGTTTCAAGGTACTTCCTCACAAAGTGTTTAAACCGGATGGTGTTCATATTTCTAAAATTAATATCTGGGAAACGACCAGTAAGAGTATTATACAACTTGAGATCAAGCTTATTCTTTGCTGTTAATTTAATTCTGGAACGAGCAGGAACCAAATTGTGTACATGCCTTGTATTGTAAGTGTGATTAGATGAATGGGTGGGGAAATCTGAGTGATTAGTATGAATACAAATTAAAGTTTGCAGTATATACAGACAAGGCAGGGGCAAAATCCTCAGCTTCTTAAATAGAGGCTGGCAATGGCTTCCAGGTGGTGCGCTGCTAAGAATGCGAATAGCCATCTTTTGTAAGCTGAAAACTCTGCCAACATTAGTTGAATTACCCCAGAAAACCACACCATAATTCAGATGGCTATGAATTAAAGAAAAATATACCGTCCGAAGCACATCAGATGAAATAGATGATTTTAAACGACGCAAAACAAATATTTGGGATGAGATCTTTAGTCTCAAGCTGTCGATGTGTGACTTCCAGCCAAGATGAGTGTCGCGAGTCATTCCTAAAAATTTCACGGGTATTGAATCCGGTTTATTAGTTCGTTGATATTTATTTTTTAGAGGTCGCTCGAAAATATAGGTACACTACTTTGAAAATTAAAATAATTATGAGTGACCTTTAGAAATGAAAATATCGATTTGAAATTTTCAGAATCGAGATTTTTTTTAACCTAGAAAATGATAAAATAACGAGAAAAAAATTTAAAAAAAAAATTCAATTTTTGACGATTTTGGAAATTCTTAAAAATCTTGAACGACCTCTAAAAAAATTTTTTTAGAACTGATTTTTTGAGGGAGCTCTTAAAACATGATAAACTAACATATTTTCACAAGACACACAAAAAAAAATAATCGTATTTTTTGGGCCACCCTATCCTGTATGTACGAGTATCTATCCCAAAACCGGTTCTGCATAGAAAATTCTTATTTGATAATGTTTTGGTTTACTAGGAGTCCTTTTAATAAAACTAATAATAACTTTTATTGTTAAACACGAATGACCTTATTTTTTTTACTCACGAGGAGACAACAACATGTGTAACTCTACTACACTACACAACTAACAATAAGAAGTACTACCTTTTTACAATACTAGTTTGCAGCGCCACTAGCCTTGTAATATCTTATTAGATGGCGCTATGCGCCGTGACATTTTATGCGGGCATTTTTTAATAAAGTAATAACAGATAATAAAATTATTACGTAAAACTTTATATCTATAATTTTTATGGCCATTGTTTTTGTCGAATATGTCGTTTTTATTTGTGCCCCATAAATATAATGTGTAAATAATACAGTAATTTCCTGTTCAAAACGGTAAAATGATTTTGTAGTAATTTTATTTAATTCGAACCGTATAACATGTTTGTTTATACACCTGAAAATCCTTATCTCACATTCCAGAAATATTTTTCCTTTACTAATTTGTTAGAATTAGGTATCTTATCGACAGCTAGGTAACACAACAAAAATAGGTCTTGATAATCTCTATTTATATACGCCTTTTACAATTAATTTTCAATGTCACCGAATTTGTCACTGTCAATATTAACTTGCTTATAATTTGGAATTCCTTTGATATGAGTAAATTGAGGAAGTTTTTCTGAAGATGGGAGATCTGACTAACATTTTTCTCAGTTATTGAAAATGACATAATAATAATAATAATAGAAAATTATCTATACTTTTTTGGTATCGTAATTAAATGGTGAAAATTATATGCAAAATAATGAAAGCTTGTTTATTACAAATATAAAATACAGCTGCAAGTCAAGAAGTTGTAAGGATCGGCGTGCAAATAGTTATTTTCGTATCCAGAACACGAAATAGTACTTTTGCGTTCAAGAATGAGAGTTATTTTGCTGAGCTTAGCAAGAAAAAGTAGTGTCAGAATTATATATTGTAATTCGTATTCTAAGAGTGTTTAATTCTTAATGAGCTCTAAAAGTGAGACGAGCATTTACCAGGGAAAGTATTGGAAGCGGCACAAAGCGCTGTTTCACAATTAATCCACAAAAAATCGTCGAGACAATACGAGATTGCCTACAACGAATTCAAAGGGTGGTGTAGTTCGAAAAAAATTGAATCGATTGACGTGAAATTTTAATAAGTAGAATTTTATAATTATTTAATTATAATTTATAATTATAATTTTATAATATAATTTAATTTTAGTAAGTAGAAAATTGCTCAAGAAACAAAAGTTACATGGTGCCGATGTGTGCTTTCACCCTGGGGGTGAATGCCACCCCTTCTCGGGGGTGGCAATGAAGGCATCCATTTTAAAACCAACAGAGGGATGAATTCTAAGCAAAAAATGTTCTATAACGTTTTTTCCAAAAATTAATATTTTCCGAGTTATTTGCGATTGAAAATGTTGATTTTTCATCTAAAAAGTGCATGTTTTTCAACCATTTTTGATAAATAACTCGAAAACCTTGCGTTTTATCGAAAAACCCATATAAAGCAAAAATAATGATTTTGCAATTACGAATCGATTCATTTTTTGTTGATTACCGTAGAAAAAATCAACAATAAAATCTATGGCCGAACCATAAAAATAGAAACTAAGCATGATCCTAATTATTATTCAAAACATAAAAGAATGCTTATTCTATTGACATAACACAATATGGTTTTTACGTTTTTTGCAAGAAGGGGTAGTTTTCACCTCCTAAAAACAATAGGCACACATTATTGATATGTAACTATTGTAAAGAAGGGTGAAATGAGCTTACTCACCAATTTTCATGAAAATCTGTGCCCGAGTCAAGAATTCGGAGGTAATACCCTATTTTTACCGTTGTATACTGGACTACTACGGAAATTGCTAATAATACAACGTGCGCAGTAGACTAAAGAATTACAGTAGCAGCCTCATTGAACACCTAGAACTAAAAGCTACGATAACTGACAGCACTGGATCTGGCATATTAACTCACTGCAATATCGACTCTTTCAAATTACATGTAGTGTAAAATAAATTGTAATCGTCCTATTTATAATAGTTACTGTTTTATATTGAAATGTTATATTATTTAAAATGTAATAAGTTTGGAAAAAATGACAAATTATTTTGACATTTGTTTTATGTTCTAGAATGAAAAAGACTTTTAAGTTCAAGTATTTTGCAACTAGGTGAGAAAACAGATGCTTTGTCCACTGAAAATTTAACGAAAATGTCGACTTTTGATGACAGTTTTCGAAAAAAAAAAGGATTTTGTCAATATTAATTTATCTTTAACATTTTGATGTAAAATGTAATTATATCAATTATTAGACATTTTTTAATTTGTTTATGTAAACTCTTGCTCATACTTTTAATAGTAGATACAGGTTAATCCGGAACACCATACTATATCCTTTCCGAGTATCATATTCTATATATTCAAACTATTTTACGCAGTAGTGAATTAATCCCCCAAAATTTCCACTACTCTACCGCGCAGATAGCAAAAAAATGCATACCGGGAATCAATAAATGTTATCTTATCTACATATTTTCATCCATCTCAGCTTATAAATACGGATATCAGGAAATCCATAGTTAGACAGTATCCAAACCTTTTGATAATCGCAAATATGGTACCACCGCCTCCACCACATGATCAACCTCCCCATCATGGAGGTCCACCAGGTCCACATGAACCCCAAGGAGGTCCACCTGGCCCTCAAGGAGGCCCACCACCAAAAGGCCCAGGTATAAATTTATTCGTTTTTCGTACAATTATTTCGACAATATTAATTTTGAAAATTATGTAGTGAAAATATACAGGTTTTTGATATACAGCGTATCTCCAGGTAAAAATTAAAAAATAAGCTTTGCAACTGCTTCAGAAACACTCTGTGTATGTGGTGGTTTAAATTGATACATTTGATTTTCNTCTGATGGTTATAAGCAGAAAGATCGTTTTCGTATCACTAGACTAAAAATCTGTATCGTAATACATATAATTTAAACTTGAGGTATTTCAATAATTTTAGTTACTGAATATACAGCCGTTCCCCAAGGAAGTGGGTATTTTCTTCAAGACTATTGTAAAGGATACGATAAAAGTTAGGGAAGAGAAAAACATCACACGACCAGACATGTTGAATCTACTGTTGGAAGCAAGAAGAGGAGTTCAAAAATACAGCGTGAAGGAAAACGCAGACATCGATACAGGATTTTCCACCGCCCAAGAAAGCAACTCTGGTTAGTAGGCATTTAAAAAGGCAATTAAGAAAGGAAATTAAGTATACACATATTTCAGTAAAATCTGCGAAATTGCCCAGAGACATAACAGATACGGACATCGCAGCGCAAGCTATGATCTTCTTTTTCGCCGGGTTTGATTCCGTCTCAAACATCATGTCTTTCTTGGCATATGAATTAGCGGCCAATCCAGATATCCAGGACATGTTAAGAGATGAGGTTAGGTCTACTCTAGAAGAATGTGAAGGTAAACTCACGTATGAAGGTCTTCTCAAGATGAAGTACATGGACATGGTCGTCTCAGGTTTGTAGGAATGTGTTTTATTCTTTTCTTAACATTCTTGGCATTCTTAAACACAGGGCAATTCCATTTAGTAGTTTAGTAATTTATTTTCTTTATCAAAGAAAAGAGCAGATAAAATAATGTAAACATAAAGAATATGATTTGTTGTAAGGTCCGTGACTAAATCGTACATTCCAGGTTCGGACTTTGTTTATAAATGACGGCATGAAAAATATACGTATTTGTAGAAGGTTAATTTTGTTCACAACAACGGCATGGAAGTAAAGAAACCGAATGTTGTTTATCGATAATAAAAAAAATCAAGATTAAAATATCGCTGAATCGTATCTATTTATAAAAATTAAGAATTTTAAAAGACGTTTGGAATTTTCAATTACCTACATTCCATGCTATATTACAAAGTCTAATAGTCACTACATAAAAAGTGGTATGCACTAACAAATATGACTAAAATATAAAAAATAAGTGTGAGGCAGATATAACCTACAAAGTATTAATAATTAATTGCCATTGAGAACAACAAGAACCGAAATCAGTATCAATCAATATCTGATAGAGGGCCCGCCCAACAGAGCTTAGCCCGAGAATAACAAGGACAGATCAAAGGTTCCTGGTTAAGGCTAAAGCATAGCCTGTAACTAGTACCAAATGTATACCTAGTTTACTAACATGTATCTAACTTATCAAATATTCCAGAAACGTAATTTACCTGAATTAATAAAAATAATGTTAGATTGAATTATTTGCTACAGTGTAAAGATATATAAATAATCTCATTTGAAATTTTTTATGTATGCTCAGATTAAAATTGAATATGGCGTCCAAAAGAAAAGAAGAAATTGATAATGGTTTCTCATAACTGAAACGTCGCAATGAAAATCTAAATATACAGTGAAATTCCTCGAAAAAACTGGCTGTAAAAGAGTGTGTTCAGATTTGAAAAATGCCTCTAAATAAACAAGTTACTGACGATTTTCAAAAACGCCACATTTACTTTTTTTCAAAAAACGTGAAGAGCTAGGACCGGTTTGCAAGCGCCATTAACAGAACTGTCTAAAACGTTCCCCATCTAACCATTTTCCTATCTCTTATGGTTTCTAAGACACCAATACATGCATTACCAAAATGGTCCACACTGTATATCCTGTGAAATATTTATTGTCTCTTTTATTTTGTATATTGAAATATGAACAAGCTCAGTGTCCTGAATCAGACCCTGGGTTTTACGTCACGTACAATTCACTCACGGACCTTACATCTGGTAGGAGATAATGTATTTTGATATTTTAAATTTACACCCTTTTGAATTTCGTGACCACAATTCCCATTATCTTAAAATTCTATTCCATGCAAATTGTGTCTATTTATAAATTTAAAACAATATTGTAAAATATTCTCTTTATTCAACGTTACAGAAACCCTACGGAAGTGGCCTATACTCCTAGGTATAGACAGAGTGTGCACAAAACCCTACACCATAGAGCCAATCTTGCCTGATGAGACACCTCTGCGTGTAGAGAAAGACGTTATGATTTCTTTACCTGTGTATGGTATACACCACGACCCGAAATATTTTCCAAATCCAGAACGTTTCGACCCCGAAAGATTCAACGATGAAAACAAAAGCGAAATCAAGCCCTACTCCTACTTCCCGTTTGGTTTGGGTCCCCGTAACTGCATTGGTTCTAGGTTTGCTCTACTGGAGATCAAAACTGTGATCTTTCAAATTTTGAAACATTTTGAACTGATACCTGTGGAGAAAAGTAGAATTCCAGTTCAGATATCCAGAAAGCAGTTTAACTTGACCGCTGAAGGCGGTTTTTGGTTCGGACTGAAACGTATCAATGTATAAATGTTATTGCACAAAATATGTTTAAGGCACAATAAAATATATTGTTATTGTTTTATAAATAAAAGAATATAAAACAGATTTTTTTCTTAATATGTCTCCCAAGTAGATTCATTTTGCTCTTGTTTCGTAAAAGTTTTATCACAGACAATATAGCGTACTGCTACAGACTGCTACTTAAATGCTGGAAATTGGCAACCCGAAATGGAAGCAGGGTCTCCTTAGCCGGCTTCAAGCTATAAAATTTAGCGTGGTAACTCTTCTACTTGCTAATAGGCGGCAGTTATAGCGNACAATGTTAATTTTGAAAATTATGTAGTGAAAATATACAGGTTTTTGATATACAGCGTATCTCCAGGTAAAAATTAAAAAATAAGCTTTGCAACTGCTTCAGAAACACTCTGTGTATGGGGTGGTTTAAATTGATACATTTGATTTTCGTTACAAGCGTCTGTTTTTAAAATTTAAAATGGGCTGGACTTTTTTAAAAAGTTACGAGTTTTTGTTTTACATTAACCCATCAAATTCTCTAGTAAACTTTTTTTATTTTATTGTAAAGTTGTTCAAGTAAAAATACTGCCCCACAGATAGGATTCTTAACTGTCGATGTTGCAGGAAACTACTACTCTAAGAACTACCTGCTCCAACTATCGTTGAATTACATCAACAATATCTAGTAAATAAAACTGGTGTGTCTAATTACAAATATTAAAAAGAAACTGATATTTTTTGTTGCTCTAAAAAACAACAAAAACCCTCTATTAATTAGCGCAGTCAGAACTGAGCCGCGGGACATAGGCGTACGCAGTATCTATTAAAAAGCAACAAATCAAATTGGCTCAAATTGTCTACAATAGATGCAATGTAGTTTCCTTGTGAATTAATTAATAAATATTTATCGAACAAAATCATGTATAAAAAACACAAATCTTAATTTTGATACGACAGTCAAAAGTGTTGAATGGGACTAGATTAAAGTGAATCGAAGTTTCTTTTTAAGAAACATATTCTCGCATTTTTACTTTATTGTAAAATGATCGGACTAATTTAAAACATTTTAAACAGTTTTTCTAAAAAATCTTATCAAATGAAATATACAATGTTCTTCAATACCAAAAATCTAAGTACGCAAAAGATATCAAATCCCAAAGACGAGATTCCTAACTCTTTTTATTTTAGAACCATACGCCTATGGTTAAAATCAAATTTAGTTATATCAGAACAGTGGCTTTGTTTTTAATTATTTCGTGTTAAAATATCAAATAAGAAAGACTTAAGGAAAAATGAAACAGTTATTAGTTTAAAATTACAGGGGGTTTTTAAATCTCGCAGAAAAAAAATAGGCATCAAACCTCTGTTAGCTATTTAATTTTTAGATGAAAAATCATTTTTACGATTGCATATTTGACATTCTTGTTTCTAATTCCTTAAGATAAGGTATCTTAAAGCTGCTAAATTTGTAAGTCATAAAAGCAAGATAAACGAAAAATTATGAAAAAGATAGTCGGTTTCAATATATTTTCTTTAAATAATTAATTTTTAATACAATTTTACTGAATAGTTAAACTTTTTGCACAGGCGACAGTTGCTGTTGTTGCACAATAGTGTGAAAACTAATGCAAGATGCAGCATCTCTAATACTTGGTGGTTTGGGGTAAGTTATTGCCGATAACTACCCCAGTTCCCCAATATTTTTCTTCTTTCTGTAAATTTATTTACGTAATAAAATTATTTCTGACTTCAGTATGCATATATAGGGTGATTCACAAATGATGACCAAAAATGAAATTTAAAATATTTTTTGAAGTTTAACACCCTGTATCTTCTTGACGAAGCGTCCTAGATAAAAACTTTATACGAAAGACTCCCTTTAAAATTCACCAAAAAATACAAGGTTCAATTTTTATTACCCTGTAGAAAGTTGATATTAACCTAAACCATCAAACATACACATATTTTTTTTGTTTAATGGAACTGTAGTCTGTATAACTATTACCATTTTTGTTCATGCACATATTCTTTTTTTTAGGTCATGACGGTCCTCCACCTCATCATTAAATGAAGACATATTCCTACTTTTAGAATTCTCGTAATATTTTGTGTTACACAGATACTATTTTTTATTATAATGAATTGAAAATAAAGCATGTTAGAATACCATTGTTGCTTTTTTAAATAATAGGAATCTACGCTACTTACTTTCTTTACAAACTTACTTTGAAGTAATCTACTATTAAGAATGGACATTATAGCCTACTTGATTCAAGAATAATCGCATAGGGATCTGGTGTAAATGTTTGCATATTTGTGTTAATTGAAATATTTCAATAATGTTTCAGTCAATGCATTTGCTCAGAATAATAGCCAGTTGTTGCGATTAGATGGCGATAGTGCTAGATTGGGTTTTTTTTCTAGGGCCCGGCCCAATTTGGAGACACTAACACGCTGTTATAAATACGTAAGGCATTAAAAAAGATCACAAACGAGGTTAGTATTTACAAACAGAAATATGGCACTTTCAACTGTATGATAATCTGTTTGTTACTAGAAGAATTTCTCTCAGATAAATGCCAGTGTTGTTGCAAGAAATGTTGAAAACGGCAGATACCTTCTAATTGTACCTATTTTTTTTATTTTTCTTCGAACACGAATCAAAAGGATATTACTCAAATTATAATACGTTTTCTAAACATTTTTTAACGTTTTAGAAATGTTTTTATTGCATCGTTGAGATCACAGAATCAACATTCTGAGAATATTAACATATGGTTCAGATTTGAATAAAATAAATATTTTCTAAACAATTATATAAATATTTCTCAATATTTAAATACAATGTTTCGTTGCATATTGTCTCTATTTAAAGTATTTTACGACTTTGTTATTTTATTTATTCAATTAGATTTGGGGCCTATTAAATTTTTTAATATTAAGATAATTAATTTATAAAACACCTTTGTCGTACATTGTTTTCCAAGAAATTTCTATACAGATCAGATCTGCATTTAAAAGATCTTTTAAAACATGCACAGGCAGTAAATTATTGTTGAAAATGCTACCCCAAACGTTGATACTGAAACGTTGCTGAAATCGTCTCAATCTAACTGCATGCGGATTTTGTACCGCTCAGATAGGTATTTTTTTCAGTTATTAAGAGTGACAATAATAATTATTTAATAGAAAATTATCTCTACTTCTTTAATTTAGTAAATAACGTGGGGAAACTAATATGAAAAAATAAAAATATACAGGGTGGCCCACTAAGGTCGGCAAGGTGCAATATTAGAGAAAGTATATGCCCTAGAAGTTCGGGAAAAAATTTTTTACTAATAAATCAACCAAGACAAATCGCTCGAAATAGTTTTCAAGTTCGTAGCTCGGCCGCTAGGGGGCGCAATGTACATACCAAAACATAGAGTTGAATTTTTCTCAGAAATGTCTCTTATTCAGGTATATTAAATAGTACAAATATGGATAGCCGGATTCATTGCGCTTAACTTTTGTTATTGACATTTTGTTCTATTTCTAGACAGAAAAGGTGGGGGAAGACCAAGTTTACTTTGCCTTAATTTGTAAAAAGAATAACTTTTTAAATGAACGATAGCTTCATTTATTTATTTAATAATAGTAAAATAATTCCGAAATAGAAATTTTAATTAATATTTCGTTCAACAATAATTTTTGTGACATTTTTGTAAATTAAAAGAAATTAACTATAAAAGATGCATTTTTTCTGGGGTTCAGGGCTATTCTACGAATTCGTAAATATGCCCATTGTTATTTTTTCGTCCAGCTACCCCAGTTTTAAAAAAAATAAGTTTCTACGATGAATAGAAGCCGAGATATTGCAAAATTTACAGCGCGCATCAATTTGAACACGGGAAATCGTAGTTTACGTCGTAAACTTTATTTAAATATTTATAAACAATTTCGCTACGATTTAAAAAAAAAAGTTCTTATCTTGGCTCCAGTTGGTCGTAGAGGGTACTTTTTTTATTTTAAAACTGTATTTTTTTACCAGCTATCCATTGCATCTATTTTCGGTGAGATAGCATAAATAGCAACAATGTTATTCAAATTGTTTATAAGCGAAAAACTCACGGTTTTTTAATGCACAATTTGAGAATGTTAATGTCAAAAAAACGGTGATATTTTTTAATAGGTCGCTTAATTACGTCTTTAAGATTACAATGACGCTTTCAGAGTCATGTTTGGTTGAAAATTAACGCCTGTACAAAGGCTTAAAGTTCATAACTTTTGGAGCAAATAGAATTGTGCGAAAACTATTGCACCCTACTTTTGGCACACTTTTGAAGTATGACAAAACCCTCAACTTGTCATAGGTTTTATAAAATTTTAACAATAAATGCGATAGTTATAAACAAATTAAAAAATTGGCACTTTTTTTGTTTTTTGCAATAACTTTTTTGTTTATTAACCGATTTTAATTTAACAAGTCTCATTTTGTAGATAATTTTACTCCCTATAAACTGTCTGAGAGGCACTTTTCGCTAAAATTGATGGTTTTCCCTGCAAAGTGAAAAAACTGTTTTCCTCACTTATTTGTTTAAATAGAAAAGTTAGCTAATAAAAGTTTTTGACTCACGAGATGAGAAATGTCTTGTATTATGTTCCTTTAGACAATTTTACAATTCGTTACATAATATCAACATCTGTTTGTTATTGTTTTTGTTATTATTTTCAGGATTTTTATCGACTCACTTATTTGCATGGGTTTAGGTACATAAGAATTTAAATGATAGCACGTGAAAGTGACAGTCATTGGTATCATTACAACGAAACTGTCACCATGAAAGATGCCTACCATGTGAAAATGTTAAAAAAAAGTTACTGTTCTGAGCCACACATTATTTAAAAAACAATTATTTCTGACAACTACGCAGAATTCGAAAAGAAAAGCAGGGACATTTTTTCTTCAAAAAAGTCTAATTCATTAAAAAATAATATCATTTGCTTGATAATTCAAAGGAATAAAAAAAAATCGAAAAATTTCTGTTAAGCGTAGTTAGAAAACCATCCTTATTTATAACCGATTTTGATGAAACTTATGATAGCTAAAGGCCCTTATAGTATGATTGTTACCTGCAATTTTCACTTCATTATCTTAATCAGAAAGAAAGTTATTTTAAAAAATATGCAAATGATGAGACCCCTTTGGAAGGCCATATCTCAGTAACGGTGCTCCGGAGGACCAATGTTTATAGGAACTTTTTTTACTACTTTTGGCTCTACTTTCACCTCCTTAAATTTTGTCCAACTTTTCCAAACACCCTGTATAAAATACAGTTGCAAGTCAAACTGCTGATTTACATACGCTGTGATTCTGCTACAAATCAACTTAAAATATTTGATAGAAACAAACAAGTTGGAGCATCATTTTTATCCACTCCCCCCCCCCCTTTGCTCAGTTTAAGACACTCTTAATACAATTTCTACTATATCCTTTCCCAGTATTATATTTTATATATTAGTTTTCGCTGTAGTAAATCAATCTTCCAAAATTTCTGCCATTCTGTCACGTAGATAGAAAGAAATTTTATACCGGGAATCAATAAATGTTATCTTATCTATTTATACCCATCGCAGCTTATAAATAGGGATATCAGGAAATTCGTAATTAGACAGTATCCCAACTTTTTGATAATCGCAAATATGGTACCACCGCCTCCACCACGTGGAGGTCCATCAGGTCCACGTGGACCTCCCGGATGTAGACCTGGCCCTCCCGGAAGACCTCCTGGTCCTCACGGCGGCCGACCACCACCAGGCCCAGGTATATATTTGTTTGTTTTTTGTACAGTATTAATTTTGAAAATCTTGTAGTGAAAATATATATTTTTTTATATACGTTGTAGTTCCGGATTAAAATCAACAAAAAATTAACCTTGCAACTGCTTTAAAAACGCCCTGTGTATGTTGTGCATAATATTTTAGCTTTCTTGAACATATCTCGGTTATTTTCAATTGAAATATTTTAGTACTTACGTAATAATTACCTGCAATATAACCAAATGAAGTAAATAATGTTCTTCATTATCAGAAAAATATCTAACCCCACAGACAATGTTCCTAACTCTTTTTATTTTAGAACCATACGACTATTAGATTAGGCGGAGTCTGTTTTGGTTAAAGAAGCGTCTTTCAATAACTTTTAAAACCTATTTTAAAAAAATTAAAGATTTGATTTGATTGAATTCACAAAGTTATTCTAATTGTTTATAAATACAAAAGTTCCGACAAATATTTTAACAAGCACCAGAGCTCTCCTAATTGAGGGATTCGAATTTTTCAAAAAGCGTTTGAAAGTTTGAAAGCCCTTCTATATGTGATTAAATTTTCAAGTATCTAAGGGCCTTGGTTTTTGTTGTGCAAACTTTTGAAAATTTGCGATTTTTTTTCAAAATCTGTATTGCAAAATTATTATGCAAAATCTATAGAACCGATTTTGATGAAATTTGGTGTGATGATTCTACATAACATGAAGTTTTCTTGAGCCAAGTATGAAAGTCCTATACCCAATTTAAAGACCCCAAAAAAATCCCTAAAAAGTAATGTTTTTTAACCCCACTTTTGGCGATTTTTTCGATTTTTACAATAATAATCATGATTCGTTCGATTTGTAACTAGTCATATTTTGTAAACAAAAATTAATTACAAACATTTTTGTCCTCTTCCATTTTCGCCTAAAATCAACTCTTGAAAAGATACATAATTAAATAGGATGAAAAATACCACATTTTTCGAATTTTTTTAACATATTGTGCCGCCAAAAGTTAAACACACCTTTTTTTATGCGCAAAGAAAAATTTTCATTTCTAGTGATATTTGAAAGCCCAAAAACCAAGAACCTCCGTGGATGGACTTTTTGAAACAGATACCGTCTGGACTATATGACTAAATTCAAATTTAGTTGTATCGGAACAATGACGTATTTAATTTCGTGTTAAAATTTCAAATAAAAAAGACGTAAGGAAGGTGTCAGGAAAAGTGAAACGTTTATTAATTTAAAATTACAGAGAATTTTTAAATATACTTCCAGAAAAAAGTAGGCATGATCTATACTATAACATATAATTAATATTATAGATGAAAAGTCATTTTTATCATTGCATATTTGACACGTGTGTCCTATTTAATTAAGATAAGGTGTCTTAAGGTAGCTTAATTGATGACCCATAAAAGCAATATAAATGAAAAATTATGAAAAATAAACTCGGTTTAAATACAGGGTGCGCCATTAGTACGTCGAAGTTCGATATCTCCGTTATTATGGAAGATATCAAAATAAGTTATTTACAAAAATTTTAGCCAACTTAAAACTGCACATTTTCTCAATCATTTTAAATGAATCACCCTTTATTTTATTTTAAAAACTGAAAATGCACTTCATGTTCTTTCACTTTCATAAAGCATTCCCTATAGTTAAAATCATTTAATAACAAAAATTCGGATATTTTCTAATGTTTTATAACAATTTGTTACACCGCCAACTTGTTATAATAGGATTTTTTTTAAAACTCTTTATTTGTTATTAAATGGTAAATATCTCAGAAATTAATGATTTTAGCTAAAGGGAATGCTTTATAAAAATGAAATAACATAAAGTATATTTTTTCAGTTTTTAAAATAAAATACAGGGTGATTCATTTAAAAAAATTGAGGAAATCATGTGCTCGAGTTTTGGCTCGCCATATACAGGGTGTTCCTAAATAAGTGTCGCAACGGAACACTGTAAATTCCTTTTGAAAAAAGAAACATTATTTTCCTGTTTCATTTTTCTCTCCGGGCTTTCGTTTTCGAGATACACGGTGTCAAAGCTTTCATTTTTTTTAATTTTTTTGCCAATATCTTAGGAATCGTTTGAACTATAGGACTGAGTTTTTGTACACACATTACTACTATTAATAGCTAGTTTTTCACACCTTTCTCGAATTCATTGGACGTGTCAGTGGTGGAGATTTTAAGGTGTTGCAAGGGTTTCCCCCCCCCCCTAACTTTTACGCCACTGGAAAAATTGACATTTGACAGCAAATTCTGAAGCGCCAACGAATTTTACACAAAAAGAGTTCTCTTGGTTCATTGCTCTAAAGTCAACCGTTTTCAAGAAAAAAGGCATTTTATGAACAAAAACAAACATTTTGCTAACGTTTCGAAACTTTTGTAATTCAAAAGATAGATTGTAATAATGAACAATTTTAACTAAATTTAACAACATTTGCAACAAGTAGTTATTAATAGTGGTAATGTGTGTACAAAAGCTCAGTCCTGTAGTTCAAATGGTTCCTAAGATATTGGCAAAAATCTGAAAAAAAGTTTTGACACCGTGTATCTCGAAAACGAAAGAGAAAAATGGAAAAGGAAAAGAATGTTTCTTTTTTCAAGAGGAATTTACAGTTTTCCGTTGTGACACTTATTTAGGAACACCCTGTATTCAACTGTTGCAATAATAAAGAAATAGCACTTTCTCATAAAACTGTACCAATATCAAAAAGTTATGCCTTCAAAAAATTATTGGTAAGTTGTTCTGTTTAGGGTATACAAGACACTGACATGATTCTCGCATACAATTGACCATAATTTTGTAAATGCCCTATATAACATAATTAAACCCTATATTGGAAGCATGAGAGAGATGAGCTTAATCTAAATTTGAAATAATATATAGGGTGTCCCATTTAAAAAATAGTATGTTTGGTTCACTCTGGTAATACGTAACACCCTGTAGATACGAATATAATTTTTAAATGTGCAGTTTTAAGTTGGCTACAAATTTTGTAAATAACTTTTTTGATGTATTCTATAATAAAAGAGATATCGTACTTCGACGTACCCTGTATATTTTATTTTGAAGTGATTTTTTTTTTAATTTAGATTTTTTGTTCGATATTTGAGGAGTATTTAACGTGAAATTGTGAGAAAAATAATGAAAAAAAGTTTTTTTCATGTTAATCATCATTAATTGATGTTTAAGGAGCAGCAAACCTGCTTCTTTAATTTTTTATAGAACTTTGAAGATTCGGGAAAGGAAAACGGTTCTACCGATCGATTTCAAAATAAAACAAAACCCACAAACATTGGTACTTTTCGCAATATTTGCAAAGTGGTAGTTAATTTTCCAAAATAGCCGATAAAGTCATTTTTTGCACATTTTCAAATTAATGCTGAATATAAAAACTTTTTTTTCTCAAACATAGCAAAAGGCCATTGAAGAAGATTGATTCAAGTTTCCAAATCCCACACTCCGTTCACTGTACGATCATTAGTTCGTGAGATTCTATGATCAAAAAAAAAGGTGACTTTTCACTCAATAGTCGATATTTCAATGAGAAAAAGACGTACCGAAAATTATAAAAAATCAAATTGAAGCTGAGGAATCAGGCTGAATGACCCTGGTGTTGATTAAGCCAGAAAAATTTTTCTGCGCCCATGGGCAGTTTAAAAAAAATTGTAAAATTTTTGCTTGCATTATTTCTTTTGATTGCGCCGTGATGCCGAAAAAAAAAATTGTATCCCAATATTTCAAAACTAAAATCTTCAAGTTCAAGATGTTTTTCTTTTTTTCTCGATATGATCATTATTCACGAAGTTACACCCTTTCAATAATCACAAAAGATTGGAAAGTTTACACCTCTCTTAATTTTTTTGCCGAGTTTATGTTTTTTTTAAATCATTCGTTTTTACACAGGCTGTAGGTGTTGCACAATAATATGAAAAACTAACGCAAGAATGCAGCATCTCTTAATACTTGGTGGTTTGGGGTAAGTTATTGTCGGTAACTACCCCAGTTGTCCAATATTCTTCTTCTTTCTGTAAAATTTACTTGCATTTTCCGCTTTTCTTTTAATAAAATTGTTTCTGACTTCAACATATACAAATCTGATATAACCTAAAAAATACAATAATTTTCTTTTTTGTTAAAAGGAACTGTAACCTGTATAACTTTTACCAATTTCGTTAATGCACATATTTTTTTTTAGGTCATCACGGAGGCCCTCCACCACCCCGTCGTTAAATGATGACGAATTCCTAGTTTTACAATTTTCCTAATATTTTACACATACAGTATTTTTAATTATAATGAAATTGTAATAAAGCACGCTTGAATACCGTTGTTGAGTTTTTTGGAAATAGTAGAAATCTGACAAGTCTAACAGGTGGTGCTACGTTATATGTATATTTTCTTTACAAAATCAATTTGAAAGAAAAAATGCAACCAATCTTGTATTATTGAGATATATTATTTTTGCAATGCGAAATGTGAATTATTCTCGAATTATTTTTCGATTTGTTTTTGTTTTTAATGCCAAAAATTTGAATATTTAACATAGTTTCTTATGGGAAATGATGCATACCCTTACAATCTAATTACAGGTGAAAAAATCAAATGGTAAGACGATAAAAATATTAATTAATAGATGGGAAAAAGAAAAAGTATGTTGGAGTTCGTGCTCCTTCTCTAGTCTCCCTTATTATACAGGGTGTAACTAAATAAGTGTAAAACATTTAAGGGGGTGATTCCTCATCGAAAAAAAGATAGGATCTTTCATATAAAGAAACTTCATTGGAGCATCCCTTGTTAAGATACAGCCCCTTAAAGGTGGTACATAAAATTTGTTTAACAATTTTTTTCACAAGCACTAAACAAGTTACAATATTGAAATTAACCTGACATTTTCTACTACCAAAAAGACACTTAGCCAGTAATTTATTTGGTTTACCCCATGGTAGTAAGGGGTGGAAAACGCAACCCCTAAAATTTATTTCCAACGTAATTTTTTGTCTTATTATTTTTTTACCATTTAAAAAATTATTTCCGATAGCCTGTTTCATTCTAAAAAAAAATGTCTCTTGAATTTTTTGCCCAAATTAAACCAGTTCGCAGTAAAAAATTATTTTACGAACAACTACAGAGATACATCGTCATAAATGCGGACTGGATTTACTGTTATTTTGTAGTTACTACCTGCATTAAATGATTAAAGGGGAATAATCAAAACTAATTTAATAATAACAAAACATACAACATGTAGAAATCATAGTAAATGTTCAATATGTCTACCTTCAGACATTACGCATGCGTCTAGACGTCGGCGCATTGAGCCACGTATTCGCTCAAATATTCCTGGAGTCTCTCTAATTACCCTGCACGCATCGATAATGCGGTTTCTTAAGTCCTCTACATCGCGAACAGGAGTACGATAAACCAAATGCTGCAAATGGCCCCAAGTAGACAAATCCAGAGGATTGAGATCCGGGGATCGAGCGGGCCAATTCTGTGGTCCTCCTCGACCTATCCACTGATTTGCATATGTTTCAGTTAAATGCTGACGTGCTACTTGACTAAAATGGGCGGGAGCCCCATCATGCATAAAAACCATATCCCTTCTGACGCCCAAAGGAACTTCCTCCAGCAGTACGGGGGGATGCACTTTTCTTAAAAATTGAACGTATGCCTCACCATTTAATCGAGGAGGTAGAAAATGAGGCCCAATTAAATAATCCCCAATAACTCCGACCCACACCTTAAGAGAAAACTGTTCTTGATGGTTAGTTTCGACAATAGCGTGATGGTTTTCATCAGCCCATATGTGGTAATTATGAAAATTAATAATCTTGTCCCGAGAAAAACTACATTCGTCTGTGAATTCGATCGTCTTCAGAAAGTCACGATTTCTTCTAATCATTTCCAGCATCCAATTGCAAAATTCAAGACGGTTCGGAAAGTCTCGCGGTAACAGTGCCTGTACTCGTTGCAGATGGTAAGGGTATAAGAGATGTTCCTTTAAAATTCGAAATACCGTCATATGATCAACATTTAGCTGGAAAGCAATCTTTCTAGTACTGGTAGTAGGTTGTTCTTCTATCAAATTAAGTACTGCTGCCTCAAGCTGTGGTGTTCTTACTTCTCGATGGCGACCACAATCCTGCGTTCTTTTGTTGAATGAACCATATTCACGTAATCGTTGATGAAGTCAGACAAATATTCTATGTGAAGGATGCTGCCGTTGAGGATACATTTCAGCATATCTTGTAGAAGCTTCTAACCCATTCCCCTGCGACAGACCGTAAACGTAATGCATATCAGCCATTTCCTCATTTGTGTATGCCATTTTAATAACAAGTGAATTATTAAAGTAACAAATTAAGAACAGAACAATACACAATTAGTATTACTTCAATTTCAAAAATTTACAAACTGACAGCTTGATTCCAATTTAATTGTCAGTATCGCTAATAGCGGCCTACTAGATAAATTAGTTTCGTATTTTCGTTTTATGGCGATATGTATCTTGTTCGTAAAATAATTTTTTGCTGCGAACTGGTTTAATTTGGGCAAAAAATTCAAGAGACATTTTTTTTTAGAATGAAACAGGCTATCGGAAATAAATTTTTAAATGGTAAAAAAATAATAAGACAAAAAATTACGTTGGAAATAAATTTTAGGGGTTGCGTTTTCCACCCCTTACAACCATGGGGTAAACCAAATAAATTACTGGCTAAGTGTCTTTTTGGTAGTAGAAAATGTCAGGTTAATTTCAATATTGTAACTTGTTTAGTGCTTGTGAAAAAAATTGTTAAACAAATTTTATGTACCCCCTTTAAGGGGCTGTATCTTAACAGGGGATGCTCCAATGAAGTTTCTTTATATGAAAGATCCTATCTTTTTTTCGATGAGGAATCACCCCCTTAAATGTTTTACACTTATTTAGTTACACCCTGTATGTATATTGAAAAACTGTTTTCATTCTCATTTACATTTAATTATTAAATATAAAATCAGATGTCTAAGTAAAAAATTAAACTTTGCATGCACCACGGTAGACACTAGGATAATTATGCCCTTACGCGACTTGTTTTCCTGTTGGCTGTTGACATGTATCTCCCTTGGTACAGTACGTCTCAAACTCGATAGTATGATCCTACTGTGAGGATACAAAAAATTTAAATACAATTTGGGGTACGTGGTGTTAAATGAGATCTGGTAGGCTCCATTTTCAATCGAAAGTATTATCTATAGAATTTGACATCATTAATTATATTTTTTCCAGAAAAATACCCAATTTTGTTTCCTGTTAAGAAGCTCTCTTTTTTCTATTAAACTTTTATTAGAGAAATTTTTCTATATTACTTTCCCTTTAGAAGTTATAAGCAATATCGTCCTAAAGAGTCTCAAAAGAAATAGGCGCGCGGTTCATCCCTAAAAAGATGCTTCTAAATGAAGGTAACCGACTAAAGTTTTAAAACAAAAACCTACAGCATGTAACTTTTTTTATTTCATAAAGTATATTTTTCTGATAAATTACATATTTTTCGGCGTGGTTAGTCAATTGTTATAAACAAAAATTACTCCGCTGAATGGCTTTTATCACCGTAAAATGGACCAAAATAAACACATTTTGTTCTTTGACAAAAGTTCAAAAAATGCTTCGTTTCCGAGATATTTACAATTTAATGTGAAATCGCCAGAATGTTCCATCCGGAATTAATGAAACGCTTATTTCAACTTAAGAACTTGTCGAAATAACGAAAAACTTATTATTTAGAAATTAAATAAAAAATAAATTAATATACTTTTATTGCTCTTAATATTTTTGTAAAATAATTATCCTATACAATAAATTATCCAATAACTTTTTTATTTTTCGAGACCGCTAGGTCAATTATTATTATTAGGTTAATTTTACGTTTTAAAAAGCTTATTTAGTTTAGTTTTGGTATAACTTTCAAGTCAATTTTAGCCATTTATAAAACCAAAATTCGAATATTTAAATTTTACTAATTATTTGCAAAAAGCTTACTCCGGCTACAAAACCAAACAAAATGATCTTTTGAACATTTGTACTGTTAACATATATCGATTAAGAAATATCATAATAATGTTTATTGTAAATATAATCTAATCCAAGATATTGTAAAAAGAAAATTTAAATTTGAAGTGTCATCATAATTTTCTTTAAAAGATTTTTTTTACTCGTTTTAGACCTTCAATAAAATGATTGACCCATACCAAAAAAATATATATCTTAAAGTAGGAAATCTGCCGATTATTATGCTATTCTGGAATTAAAATCTGTTCAGTAATTTTTGAGAAAAAAATTCCGAGAGTTTGTCGATTTCAATCACTTTTTTCACATTAAATTGTAAAAATCTCGGAAACGAAGCATTTTCCGAATTTTAGTCAAAGAACAAAAAGTGTTTATTTTGGTCCATTTTACAATAAAAAACTATTTTCAAAGCCATATTCGGCGAGTAATCTTTTTTACAACTTTTTTGTTTATAACAATTGGCAGACCACGCCGAAAAATATAAAAAATATATGTAAATTATCGGACAAATACACTTTATAAAATAAAAAAGGTTCATGCTGTAGGTTTTTGTTTTAAAAATTTAGTCGGTTCATGCCTTTTTTTAGGGGTGAGCCGCTCGCCTAAAACAGGTACCACCTAAAAATCAGAAGGATCAAGTAGTCGTTGGAAAATAATGGAATGTTCGTTGTTTAAAGTGCGCAAATGTCACAAAATACTTGTCATTACTCAATGCGAACGTCACAAGTATAACTTTTGTGCTTACAAAATGTTTTCTCATTCAGAAAAAGTTATGTTGCTAATTTACGGCGAGTCACAAAAAAAAATTAACAAGAACTGTAGAATTATATCGAGAAATGTATCCAGAGCGCCTTATTCCTGTTCATAGAAATTTTACATGTTTGGAGGCTACCTTGCGACGAAATGAAGATACAGACCTAATTTTATAACTCAAATTGTAGTAAATGTAGAAACTGTTGGTCAGAACCTTTTCTGGCACGTTCTTTGGACGGAGGAAAATCGGTTTGTTAGTAATGGTTTAGGTACTTAATTCAACTAAAAATACCTATTTCTGTCTCTTATATGTATAAACTATACTATTCTGAGAATATACACTCAAAAGAAACTCAGTCCCTTAGTCAAAATGACGCAGATGTCCTTATAATTGAAACAACAAAAGAACAATTTAATACAACAAATTCAACTATTGTAGTTGGTGAAGATGTTGACTTATTAATACTCACTGCAAGTACTCCAATTGATAAAATTATATACTTTTTAAAACCTGAAAAGGCTCAACAGCGAACAGAAATATATTCTTCAAATCTGCTTATCCAAAATGCCAAAACCATATCTTATTCTTACATGCGATAACTGGCTTACGATCCTACATCAGCAATGTTCAGAAGGGGTAAAACGTAAGTATTAAAATTATTTGGAAAAAAAGATTTGATTAATTGCAGAAATTGATTCTTCACCTCAAACAATAATCACAAAAGGAATTCGCTTTCTCCTTGCTGTTAAGGAGCTCCAAAAAAAATGATTGTCTAGATAAATATAGATATTTAACTTCTGTAAAAAAAATACATGAAACAAGTACAACTATCTTGTCTTCTTCCAACATCGACTTCTGCTAATCAACACTTTATCGAGTATACTATCAAGTTCAGACATGGCTAGGCAATCGACTGAACCCAGAAGACTGGGGTTGGAAATTAACAGATAATACTTTGGAACCGATTCAAACTTTACTTCCACCTGCTTTGGAAAAACTCCTAAACACTATTTTTTGCAATTGCAAAAAAGGTTGTAGTGTTAAATGTGGCTGTAGAAGAGTAGGGTTACTGTGTTCTCCAGCGTGTACTAATTGCCAAAGCCAGTCTTGCTCAAATGTCCAATTGAATACAACAGACGAATATTCATGTGATTTCGATAAAGAGACAGCTGATTCATCTTCATTTGAACAATTTATGAACATCCAGCAAGAAGAATATGAAGAAGAAGAAGAAGAAATCGAAGAAAACATGACTGTTGAAGTCGACTTTGAAGAGTATGAATCAGATTAAAATATCAAAAGAAATCAGAACTACAGTTAAAGTCAATAATCAATATCAATATCAATAATCATCATACAGTTAAAAGAGTATTGTCCCTGAAAATTCCGTCATAACAGTTCGTGGAATGGGCCTACCGGGAAAACCACGTTAAAAAAACTCGTCAAAGTACACTACCTCACAGGTGGTGTGGAAATGTGTGCATATCATGTAGAACGTGACTCCTTCAACTATCGCGATATCTCAGGAATGGTGATTCTTAAAAAAAAATTATAAGGACCATTTTTGTAGATAATTTTAAGATCTATAATTTTTGTCAGAGCTACTTTTTTCATGAAAAATTCGTTCGTTATCGAAAAAAATTTAAAAAACCTCAAATTTTGACCTTTTACCCCGAATAACATGGAATCGATGGGGACTTTTGACTTTTTATTTCTAATGGTGCACCCAAGGTCTCCACCAAAATTTAGCTCTGTCGGAATTTTCGTTATTTGAAATGTCTATTTTGACCAGGCTACACCCTGAATAAAATTTCTACTATATCCTTTCCGAGGATCATATTTTATATAATACACTATTTTTCGCAGTAGTAAACTAATCTCCCAAAATTTCCACTATTCTACCACGTAGATACAAAAAAAATGTATACCGAGAATCGATAAATGTTATCTTATCTAGTTTCGCCCATCTCAGCTTATAAATAGGAATATCAGAAAATCCATAGTTAGACAGTATCCGAACCTTGTATTCACTGTTTGATAATCGCAATTATGGTACCACCGCCACCACCACACGAACATCCTCCCCATCATGGAGGTCCACCAGGTCCACACGGACCCCACGGAGGCCCCCCTGGCCCTCACGGAGGCCCACCTGGCCATCACGGAGGCCCACCTGGTCCTCATGGCGGCCCACCACCACCAGGCCCAGGTATATATTTGTTTGTTTTTTGTACAATTATTTCGACAGTATGAATTTTGAAAATCTTGTAGTGAAAATACATAATTTTTTTGTGCATAATATTTAAGCTTTTTTGATCATTACATCTGCGTTATTTTAAATTGAAACATGTTGGTACCTACGTAATAATTACCTGCAATATAATCAAATGAAGTAAACAATATTCTTCAGTAGGTACCAGAAATGTAATTATGCAACATATACACATACAGGTTGGTCCCGAGGTAATGGGCCAAAATTCATGGGTAGATTCCCGAAGCAAAAATATTGCGATTTAAGCGAACTTACCTTAGTACAAAAGTTGATAGTTAAAGAGATACAGGGTGTTAAATGTAAAATATTATTTTAGTTTTTTTTCATTTATTTCTTAATAAATGCAAATATCTTGACAAAATTTTGGGGTTTGGGGTTCTTTGGGTAGAGGAATTGAAATTTGTTCACATTTTGGTTATAGTTCATAGAGGGCGCCAGCTGCCGTAGATTGAAGTTGTTGGAAACGACATAACTTTTTTGTACTTTAAGGTATCTCATCTTTGGTATTAAATTCTTATTTTCCAACTTTTTTTACACAAAAAAGATGGACTTTATGAAAGTAGCTGTCTCGCACCGTTTCCGAGATGTTTGGCTTTGAAACTTACAATGCTAATAGTTGAAATAATTAAAATAATTTAGAAATGTCAAAAACAAGGATTTATTCAGAATTAAAAATTGTAATGAACAGTAAAATAGTAAATATTACTAAAAAATATGCCTTTTTGACAAAATTGTTCAAAATGTCCACCTCTAACTTCAATACATTTATCAACACGTTTATTAAAAGATTGTCTTGTTTTAAAGTATAAATCCTTAATGCGAAATGACTTTGCAGCATTTAAAACCTGCTACTAAAGTTCTTCTTAAGTGTTTATAGTTTCTCCATAAACAATTGATTTCATGTAACTTCAAAAACGAAGCATTCTATCTCACATTTATGTATACGAGTTTACAATTTAATGTGTAAGCTAATGTAATTTTAATTAGATACGAATAATACTTAATAGAAATTAACAAACAAAGGACAGCAATAAGACAAGTGGAAGACGTCAATTATTTGATTTTCGTCCAAATCCTACTTCAGAAACTTTACCGCTAAATTAATAATACCTGTAGGTACTTAATTGTAATTTAATCCAACAGCATTGGAAGTTTCAAAGCCAAATATCTCGTAAATGGTGCGAGATAGCTACTTTAATATAGAATACCTTTTTTGTGTAAAAATGTTGAAAAATAACAATTTGTTACCAAAGATGAGATACCTTAAAGTACAAAAAAGTTATTTCGTTTTTAACACATTCAATCTACTGCAGCTAGCGCCCTCTATGAACTTTAACCAAAATGTAAACAGATTTCAATTCCTCTACACAAGGAACTCCATTCCTCAAAATTTTGTGAAGATATTTGCATTAGTTAAGGAATAAATTTAAAAAAACTGAAATAATATTTAACATTTAACACCCCGTATCTCTGTAACTATCAACTTTTGGACTAAGGTAAGTTCGGCTAAATCGCAATATTTTTACTTGGGGAATCTACCCATGAATTTTGACCCATTACCTCGGGACCACCCTGTATATAATCCCGTGGATACGAGTTTCCTAGCTCTTTTTATTTTAGAACCATACGACTATGACTAAAATCAAATTTAGTTATATCGGAACAATGGTTTTGTAGGTAATTAATTCGTGTTAAAATTTTAAAGAAGAAAGACGTAAGGAAGACGACAGGCAACAGTTATTAGTTTAAAATTACAGAAGATTTTTAAATATACTTTCAGAAAAAATAGGCATGATCTATTAGTTATATATTTAATACTGTAGATGAAGTCATTTTTATCATTGTATATTTGACATTCTTGTTCTATTTAATTAAGATAAGGTATCTTAAAGTTGCTAAATTGATAATAAATAGAAACATAAATGAAAAAATATAGTCGGTTTAAATAAACTCAGCAAAAAATTTAACGAAACACAACAATTTTCAAATTGCTTTAATGATTTTTGAAAGGGTGTAACTTTGTGAACAATGGTCGTATCGAAAAAAAAAAGAAAAGCATCTTGAGGCTCGGACAATTAGCTTGATTCCTCGCTTCAACTTGACTGAAAAGTCACCTTTTCTTTTATCATCATGAACTAATGATCGTACAGCGACGGAAGGTAGGTTTTGGAAACATGAATCAATCCTCTTCAAGGTCCTTTTGGTATGTTCGTGAAAAAAAAATTTTTTACATACAATACTACTTTGAAAATGTGGAAAAAATTACTTTTTTCCACTGTTTTGAAAAATCAATAACCACTTTGCAAATATTGCATTATTTTTCTCGCAATGTCGCGTTAAATACTCATCAAAAATCGAAAAAAAAAATTCAATTTTGAAAAAAAATACAAATCTCAAATTTTTTTTGCGTTATTTAGTTCATAAGTTGATATTGAATACCCATCAAATGTCAAAAAATCAAGTCAAAATTCTAGATTATTTTTTTAGGGAAAAAAATTGAATTTTGAAAAAAAATAATTTTTGAAGGCATGAAAACTTTCGAAAAAAGAATCAATAAATCGTATAGTGACGCTTGCAAAAAAATGCATGTAGATTCACTTGAGGATATCAACTTAAATTTATGCAATTAATTTTAACTCGATGAAATACGGCTTGTGAAAAAAATCACATCACAACTGATCAGAAAATGATTCAGTATAATTTTCTGAATATTTTTAAATCCGAACAAAAATTTTTTTCAAAATTATTTTTTTTTATTTCAAAAAAGAATTTTGTTTTCGACATTTGAAATATTCAATGTGAATTTGTGAAAATAATAACACAAAAAAATTTTGAAACTTTTTCATCTTGATTATCATTAATTATTGATGTTTAAGGAGCAATAAACCTGCCCCTTTAATTTTTTATAAAACTGTAGTATTCAGGAAAAAAGGAAATTGAGCTAAAAAAAACCCTACAAACATTGGTACTTTTCGCAACATTTGCGAAGTAGTCGTTGATTTTCTAAAGCAACAGAAAAACTCACTTTTTACACTTTTTCAAATTAATACTGAGAATAAAAAAAAATGATCTCAAGATTTCAAAAGATGCTATTCTTTTTTTCTCGATACGACCATTATTCACGAACTTACGAAAACTTTCGAAAAACACAAAAAAATTTGGAAATTTTACTGCTCCCTTAATTTTTTTGCTGAGTGTATGTTTTCTTTAAATCATTCGTTTTTACACAGGCGATAGTTGCTGTTGTTGCACAATAGTATGAAAAACTAATGCAAGAATGCAGCATCTCTAATACTTGGTGGTTTGGGGTAAGTTATTATCGGTAACTACCCCAGTTGTCCAATATTCTTCTTCTTTCTGTAAAATTTACTTGCATTTTCCGGTTTTCTTTAATAAAACTGTTTCTGACTTCAACATATACAAATTTGATATAACCTAAAAAATAAAATAATTTTCGTTTTTGTCAAAAGGAACTGTAATCTGTATAACTTTTACCAATTTTATTAATGCACATATTTTTTTTTAGGTCATCACGGAGGTCCTCCACCACCCCATCATTAAATGATGACAAATTCCTAATTTTACAATTTTCCTAAAATTTTACACATACCTACAGTATTTTTTAATTATAATGAATTTGTAATAAAGCATGTTTGAATACCGTTGTCGATTTTTTTTATAAATAGTAGGAATCTGGTGAAAGCTGCTACGTTATTTATTTTCTTTACAAAAGTAATCTACTATCAAGACCAGAACCCACAGGGTGTTTAACTCAAGAATACCTGCATAGGATATAAACTAAATGTTTTCATTTATTCAGAACAAATTTTAGTTTTCTTCGCAGATTTCTCTGCCCGAGTGTTCCACACAAAAGTTCTCAGCCTCGTATCTCGGTAACAGAAAAAGATATATTGAATTCAGAAAAAAACAGATGATAGAGCTCATCGATCGCTTCGTTACAGATTGCAACTTTTTTTCAGAGCAAATTGGAGTTGGTGCTACAGTCGAAAGAATTTTTTTGTTGGCAAGAACTTTGTAATAACGTTTATCCGATACCTTGTTCAATTCTAAACAATTTTTGGCAAATTACTATTTTTCAAAAACTTAATAGTTTCAGAGATATCGGGCTCTTCAAACGTAGTTTAAAGTTTCCAATTATTACCTTACATAACTATCGAAGTCAATTTAACAGTTTTTTTAAGGAATAGTGAAATAAAAATATGTATTTCTGTAAAATATGGCGAGTTTTTTAAATACATTATTCTTTTTGTATAACAAATCATAATTATTTGTGCGGTTGTCCTAATATAAAGCCTGATTGTATAGCGAAATTTTTAAATATTTGAGAATATTTTTGTCCAAAATGAACGTGATGCCATCTTACGTAATATTTTAACAACGTTACCTTTTAGTTCTAACATATGGCAACTTTTGGCTACTGTATTTCCATCTATTGGCGATGATCGATGAAATTTCTCTGGCAACCCTGACTCTATTAGCGATTAGATGGTGCTAGTGCAGTTACTGTACCACAGATTATGATGGAGTCAGTAGAATTAAGGTTGATCTCGGGTTCCCAGATTTTGTTTTACTTTACTTGACATTTGTAAATTTGTGCTATTTATTAAAAAAAACTGTTAAAATTTCATTGTTGTAGTGTTATAGATAGAAATGTTATGTAATGAATTACTCAAAGTATGTGGAAATTATAATTGTCTAAAATGTATAGAAAATTCAAATTTATATTTTAAGGTTGACAATATCCAAGCATGGCAGTTGATTGTGGTACTTTATCTATCAATATCTAGGGACATTTTATGTAGTTTAGTCATATGATTAACTAAATTTATTTACTCATATGAGTTTGGTCAATCTAGAGACTTTAGGTACATTTTAAAATAATTTTCAAATTTGGAATGTTTGAAATTGAACAATTTTTGCATTATTATATGTATCTTCACTTTAATTCAAATTAATTTCCCCACATTCGTCAACATTTAAAGTATAGCAAACTAGTTTATCATTACCCGAAATAAAACACGATTTATATTTTTGAGTACACTATTGACCATAATCTATTTGCTGAGATACATTCTTAACAGTATTAAATTCGGACTTAAGGTCAGTGGAAGACAAGCTAGTGAACGACTTATCTGAAGAAACAGACGTGAAACTTGAATTAATGTGTTCCTTGGGATTCAGATGGATTTGCAAGTCCCACTGACGCCTAGATCTGAATTGCTTGTTCCTCGAGTCCTTCGCTTTAGTCCTTTTTTGTTCCTCCAGGATATCAATGACTTCCGGACGAATGTCCCCTCTTTCAGTGAAAATTCCTATAGTGTTCAGCACCTTCTCGTTGACCTTGGACATATCTCGGACTGTCAGCTTTAGGGGGTTGGACTTTTCCCTGCATGCTGAAAAGTAGAAGGATACAAGTGTAAAAAGTCATTCTTTGCCAGCTTGGTTAAAAACATGAGAAAAGAAAATGTTTTTAAAAATTTAAAGATAGTTTTGAAAGTACAAGCTAGAGAAAGGAAAGGTATGCTCTGCAGCAATAGACAAGGAAAATATACAAAGAATGGCAAAATTGTGAAATAGAAATGAACCAGAAGGATGGCTACAAACTGTAAAATTTACAATTTTAAAGGTGAATCAAATCAAGGTAGACCACAATAGGAAGAATCCTGAATACAATTCAATATTTTCAAAGACAGCCCAAGGGGGATCGAAAAAATTGACAGAAAGGAAAAACGAAACAAAACATCCGATCGACTTTTTCAACTCCAAATCACTTTTGGACAAACACAAATTCTAAAGGTTGGTATACAAATGTTCCACTAGCAATTAATACTGTATCTACATGGACAAAAGAATCTATAGCTAAAATTGGACTGGGCATCACAAATAATAAAATTACCAACCATTCAAACCGTGCCAGTAGTCAGTACAGTTTCTCACTTAACCAAAGCAGGTATAAGTGACCAACAACTGATAAAGATAACCGGACACTCACCGACATCATCCATTAAACCCTACCTTGAAATTGACGCTGAACATCACGAAAGTCTTATTATTAACTTATGAATCTCGGATAGAATAAGTCAAAAGGAATATTCAACATGTATGGAAACTAGTAAAGAAAATATTGAAATCAGTATTCTGAAAACATAACAGATGGTTGAGAGTTGATTAAAATAAATATTTTTAAAGCAGCAGAAATTTGTATTTATGATTGTAGACTAGGCGGTATCTGTTTTGGTTTGGGTGAACCGTATATCCACGGAGATTTTTGGCTTTTTGGCTTTTCACTAGAAATGAAAATTTTTCTACGCGCATAAAAAAACGTAGGCTTAACTTTTGGCGGCACAATATGTTTAAAAAATTCAAATATGTCATATTTTTCTTCCTATTTAATTATGCATCTGAAGAGTTGATTTTAGACGAAAATGGAAGAGGAAATAAATGTTTGTAGTTAAATTTTACATAATGTGACTGGTTACAAATCGAATGGATCATGATTATTATGGTAAAAATCGAAAAAATCGCCAAAAATAGAGTTAAAAAACAATACTTTTTAGGGAATTTTTTGGGGTCTTTAAATTGGGTATAGGACCTTCATACTTGGCTCAAGAAAACTTCATGTTATGTAGAAGCATCCCATCAAATTACATCAAAATCGGTTCCATAGATTTCGCATAATAATTTTGCAATCCAGATTTTGAAAAATAAATTTGCAAATTTTCAAAATGTTGCACAGCAAAAACCAAGGCCCTTAGATACTTGAAAATTTAATCACATATAGAAGGGCTCTCAAGCTTTCAAACGCTTTTCGAAATATTCGAATCCGTCAATTAGGAGAGCTCTGGCGCTTGTTTAAACATTGGTCGAATTTTTGTACTTATAAACAATTAGAATAACTTTGGGAATATCCAACCAAATCAAATTTTTTAAAATAGGTTTTAAAAATGTTTGCAAAAATATTCAAAATTTCACAGGAATCGATGACGAAATCGATTCGATCGAAGAAGTAGAAGACAACGCGGAAATTAATAATTATTTTGAGTTTGAAGATGAAGAAGTTGATGAATATAAAGAAGAAGAAAACAAAATCCCATGTAAAAAAGTTCGATAAAATATATATTTTTATACATATAAATAAATATAATAAACATTCATAAATTTAAAACAAAAATTTGTGTACATTGTTTAAATCCTGATTTATTAATGCAATTAAGTATGAATAAAATATTATTGATTTTTTATAATTAA